AATCTCACCTCCTCCTCCTCGTGCTGCTCCTCCTGGCCGTCGGCGAAGCGCAGCGAGCTGCGGGTCTGCACGGGCACCTGGCTGGGCGAGAAGCGCCGCAGGTGGGGCAGCGTGTCCACGTCGTGGGGAGGGGTCAGCACCCGCGTCAGGGGCGGCAGCCGCAGCTCCGCGGGCCGGGGTCTCCTGGGGCTGCGGGGAGGGGGCTTCCGAGACCCCCCCGCCGATACCGCGACAGAACCCGCGGCTCCTCCTCCTCCTGCCGTCGCATTTCCTGCATTGTTGCTGCCGCTTCCTCCTCCTCCTCCTCTCCTGGCGGGCGCCGGCGAGCCTGGGGTGTTTTTTGGGGTTGCCGAGGGGGTTTTGGTGGATTTGGGGAGGGGGATCACCCAAGCCTGGGGGGCTCCGTGGGGTCTCTGCTCCAGCAGCAGCCGCTCCTGCTGCTGCGTCAAGCGTTGCATGTCCAGCTGCAACGAGCTCAGCGCCGCGCTCAGCCTGGCCACCGCCGCTTCGTATTGCCCTGGAGGGGCCGGAGGCGGTTTTGGTGGAGCCCCCAGACTCAATTCCTCCTCGGGAAGGGCGGGGGAAGCCCCCTCCTCGTCGTGGCGGAGGCGCTGCAAAGCGCTTTGGCCCAAGCGCTGGCGGTGCTTGGCGAAAATGGCCTCGATGCGTTTCTTCTGCGCCTCGATGGCGCGGCGCTTCTCCTCCAAACGAGCTCCCAGCTGCGACATCTCGGCGCTGAGACCCCCGCCCGATTCGGGGGGACCCCCGGGAGAGGTGGGGACCCCCCCCAAATTCACGCCGAGACCCCCGGGGGGATTGGCGGGGGCGGCGCCGGTGGCTTCTTCCAGTTTCTTCTTGCGCTCGGCGAAGCTGGTCATGGGACGGGCTGGATTTTGGGGAGGATTTTGGGGGGCCCCAGAAGGATTCGGAGGGGTTCCAAGGAGATTTTGGGGGGCGCCAGAAAGATTCGGAGAGGTTCCAAGGAGATTTTGGGGGTTTTGAGGAGGGGGAGGCTCCGGGGAGTGGAGGAAAAAAGCGTCGGGGGCTCCGTCGGGGAGGAGGCGCTCGGAGCTGTGGATGATCTGCAGAGCCTCCTCGATGCTGGGGGGCTCGGCGGGCTCGGGGACGCCGTTGGGGACGGCCGGGGGGGTGGCAGGGGTGGCACCCGGCGGGTGGCAGCGGCGGTGGCGCGGGGCGAGGCTGTCGGAGCTGGCGGAGCGGGCGAGGGTCCCGGCCGGGACCCCCACGGGGTTGCCCATGACGATGTCGACGTCGCTGTCCAGGCCGAAGGGGATGCTGAAGGACAC